TTCATCTCTTTCATATATTGGACGGATTTCTGATCACACATCAGCGTAAATGCTGTTCCGTATAAGTAATCTCGGAAGTGTGATAGCGCTGCCACTATGGCTAATAGCTCTTGTTTAACAGTTGGATAATTCAACTGCGAAGCATTCATCGCTCGATTAAAGAATTGTATATATCTAGGTTTGTTATGTATAACCTGATATAATAATCCTCCCTAGGGCTATGTCGGAGGCGTCCGTTGTTATTTCAAACGGCACGCCATCGACTGGTCCATGTACAACAGGGGCTTGTTGGACTGCGTGCTTGAGCGCTTTAAATGCGTCATCACACTCTTTAGTCCATAAGTCTCCTAGTTTGCCTTTATGACATCTTAAGTGTCCAAAAGGTTTAAGGTAGTCAGCCAAGTGTGGTACTCCATCTGAAAAGAAGTTTACAAATCCACACATGCTGTTAACATCTCTTCTTGTAGTTAGTGTTTACCAATCTAACAGGTGTTCTACCTTACCGGGGTCGATTTTAATACCTTCCCCAGATATTTGGTAGCCCAAGAGCTGCATTTCGCTCATGGCGAAGTGACATTTCTTCTCGTTAATCTTGAAGTTTAGCTCGTTGAGTCTCTTAAGAACTCGTCTGACTAATGCGGCGTGTTCGCCATTAGTTTTGGAAAAGATGACTGTGTCATCTATGTAGACTTGCACGTTAGGCATGTCTGCAAACATTTATTCCATTACTTGTTGAAATAATGCTGGTAATGAATGTGACCCGAAAGGTGCACCTCTATACCCTGTATTGTTTACCTTTCCACGTAAAACCAAAGTAATTACGATGTGGTTCATATACCTGCATTTGATGGTATCCTTGTGTAAGGTCTATAGTTGTAAATACTGTAGCACCTTCCATCCTTCGCAGTAGCTCGTTAATGTGAGGTAAGTGAAAGCTATGAGTCGGCAATAATTTATTTATTGGACTCATATCTAAACATACACTGACTATTTTAAACGATCCGTCAGAGTTATGTTGGTCTACGGCTAGCAGTGCCAAGTTAACTGGCATCTGTTGATAGTTAATTTCTATCAAACCATCTGCTAGCTATTTCTCAACTTGTTCTTTTACAACAGCCTCGTGTCTCCAGGATACATAGTTCCTTGAGGGACACTTTAACTGTGTAAAGTCTACCTTGGTTAAGTCAAGGCTGACATATCCGTCGTTAGAGCGGAATTTTGCCCAATCTGTGACCTTTATCTTCTTATTAACAAGAATCAGGTCCATGATTTTGTTCGCAAAGTCAGGTATTAATGCCTTGACTATGTCTGACGGGGGCGTATATGTATTCAGACAGTTATCGTATGATTGATCCTTTAATGGATCTATGTTAGTTGGTAGACCAGCTACGGTTATACCTAGAGTTAGTAAATCACTCATTCCGACTATAATGTCGTACTTCTGTGACATCTCAACTATCGCAGCCTAACATCTGTGGCCATAGTATCACACTTAGAAGTTTTATCATGAGATAAAATGAGGTGAGTTGTTTGTGTTCTCCTTTCGATATCTTTTATTAATGCAAAGCGATCGGATATACATGAAATTTCGAAACCAGGATCAATCAACGCAAGGATTTTATTTCCATTGCAATATACAGGGATTATTACACGCTCATCTAAAGAGTCGTTGTATTGTCTGTGTAACGATTGTACCTGGTTGTACCTTCACTCCAACTTAATGTTGGGTTTTCTGTCACAAGACTTAGTGTGATAGCCATTGGTCTTCTCAAACTTGTCTCACTTAGTAAGAAAGTGTGTACAGGTGGATGCATGCCTACAATTCCAATAACCGTTAGGGGTTAATTGGTACATGTCATACCCACACTGTGCGTCGGCACATTTCTTAATCTCCTTAAATGGAGGTTCCATGTCCTTTGCCCCTGCGCGTGTCCGTTTATTAGGTCGCGTGGATAGAGTGGAGTCGCGAGCACGTGTATGTTGGGGTCTCTCGTTTGAGATTTTCCTAGATACGTACCCGTGATCGGTGTGCTCCCGCGGCTTCTTTACAGCCGCTTTCTCTTCGATGTTACACGAAGTGCGGGAAAAAGGGTGGATACAGTATCATAAAACTGTTCCCATGTATGTCGGAATAGATAAAAATTTGTTTCATGTCCCTTGTCTTGAGCCTCAGTCGCGTATTTACGTCGCAACTCGGTGTACAGGCTCTCACGGTCGTTATTCCCGATGTTCTTACTGAACTGTTCTTACAGAACACGTGCATAACCAGGAATTTGTACCATCGCTGTGCCTTGTCCTTTATTATATCTGGACATTTTAGGTCAGCATTTAGTTTCAGAATGTAACTCTGAATGGGCGTGTTCTCAGCTGATTTATTTAAAATTGAACTCAGCCCAGAGATACGCATATCCTTAACTAACAAGGACATAACCAACCAACACACAGCTGGCTAGCCACGACAAGTGTCTAGCTCATGCGGGTGTCGTTGCAGGATCAAATAACATGTACCTGTAGGGTCAAATGTCTGCATTAAGGCAGAGATCAATTGCTGAAGAGCGATGTCATTCGTCTCCAGCATGACCGCAAACGCATTAAGTGTACGGGTTGGCGTGTTGAAGTCATGGTTGTTTATAAACTCGACCTGCTTGCGGCTGGCATCCCAGTTCGACGTAAGTCGACTGATCTGTCCCTTGTACTTCTGGCTGTCTCTGTGGTCTTGTCCACGTTGGGCCTGAAGTAGCTGATCGATGCGATTTTGCTTAATCGCAATCATATTTGCAAAATATGATACATTCTCAGCATGATCCGTGGGCGATTTTCATTTTAAAGGTATAATCGTCGACCGATTTGTTAAGTTCGGTCACCTCGTCAGAGTGAAAATCCTCTGCGGGTTGATGTAGTGCTGCACGATCGAAGCGATTAAATTCGACTTCGTTAACGCGTTTACGGGGTTGTTTATTACCCCTTACAAAGTCCATGGTCGAGGCCTTCCGGTGCTCTGTTCCTCGGATAGTGGTTGGTATTATAATCTTGGGTGATTCATGCGTCTGGATAACATACCCAGTTTTAACTGGTTTCCGACGATTGTCATCCCAATTGGGTGGAAGTGGCGGAATATTTCTACCTGCCTCTGGATCTATAATACCCTCAAGAACGGGTGACTCACGGCCGGGTGTCAGAACAGGCGAGTAATTAGCCTGAAGTTCTATTAGTAGTGCCTCGTAAGGTATAGATACGCTGAGCTCATCTGGCTCATATGCCACAGGTGTAGCGCTCGAGTCTCTACGTTTTAGTCTCACTTCTTGGCTTCGTAAATGCAAGCTTTGAAGTTGAGGCAATAGTTGGCCCTCGAGCTCTGTCAGTGGGAGTAGTCTCCTTAATCGTAGTGGCTACATCCTTATCTGAAGCATTGTCCTGTTAACTGTTATTGTCGGTGGCCAGTACTTCGGCTAATGACTACTAGCTGGTCTCTTAAGGACTAGCTTGGACAAGAAAAATAAATGTTGTGGTAGTTAATCTACCTTTACGCCTAAGTAGTCTAAGTAATTAATACCTTTGCTAACTTTAAAATGAGTAAGATTCGGTCTATTGAGGCGATATTAACGCCTTAGAGTAAATAAACGCGTAGGTAAATTCAAGTATAATATCAAAGTAAATAAACGAAATGAGACTTTTAGTAAAGTTAGGTATGCCTCGTGAAAGCAGCAATACTCTGAGGGATTGTGAGGCTGAGACATTGCCTACATATAATCCTCTCAGTACTGTTTCTGCCGAAGGGATTTTATTTTGTGTTTCGTTGTCGCTCTATTAGAAACTATGGTATGCTTCATTGGGGCGAATCCGAGAGACTCATAAAATCCTATCTTTAGAAAAATAAAATAAAATACTATTCATGTCCTTAGTTATTGTCTTAGCCAATAACTTGTCACTTATCAAGAATTACCGACTTAGCCTTCATCAGACTGGTACATCTGGTTGGCTGATCGGAGGATCAACTAGGTAACGTTAATAGTTCCTAGAAACCTATATTCGGTTGAGCCATCTCGCTACCGAAGTATTCAGATATAAATAAAGTTGGAAAATAAATATAGTTCTATCAATAGAACTAGACCAACTCTTATGTTTGGTTTTTTACTGGGGCCTTTTAATGGCCTCGTCCAAATATCTGATATGTAAAATGGAAAAGGTATTAATTAATAAAACCATTAAAAACCATTAGGAAACTTAAGTTCCTCGTACTATTAAGAGTACGTTTATAATTTACGTACTGCTAAAGAGTATGTATATAACGTGGAGGCTAACGTAGAGGCCCGGCTATTACACTAACAGTTATAGAGGTCTACAACTTGTGTAGTAAACCGTGCAAATAAAACAAGGTTTTTCTACCGTAAAGGTAGGTTTCCTTCAAAAAAAAATTACAGAGAGCACTAAATTATTTATGGATGAAGTTCACTCTATGTAAATATTTACTACTACAATAACTGCATAGTACATATATTAGTTATATTTTTTTTTCGTAGTGTTTGCATAAAACATAAATAAAAATAAAAATAATATTGTATTCAAAGTATTTCACCGGTTAAAAGTTTATCGCCACCCTTTCGTGCCTATAATATGGAGATTTGCCACATATCAATTCCGGGTGATTCTTTTCAGAAATTTATGACGTATCAGAAATGAGGAATCATTGCTGGGAAGTTTATTGGGCATTTATGACAAGAGATGGGGATTGAGGCCTGAAGAGTTGGAAGACCCGGACCCCGCCGGGGGTGCCCCAGCCAGTGCAAAGTAAGGCCGAGGACAGGGTTAGAACAATCAGAGTCTTGGCCTCTCAGAGGTCATTTGTCATGACGTTGTTGCCCACCGTCATAATATAGTCCAATGAATTTCAAGGCTCGTAATATTACGTTATTTATAGAACCAAACAGCTATATATCCTTTTTTATTTTAAAAACAAATAAATATAATCATCAATGACATACGAAGTACACAATGATGCACACAGGATATGCTAGTCTACTACATAGTACACAGAATATAGACAGTCAAATTGCTGATATTAGTGAATACAATTTAGAAATTCTACAAGAAGCGAATCTGTCACACCAATATTATTATTATTACTATATACTGAAAGCACTTCCTCATCATTAACAAAGTTAAAATCTAGAGTTACAGTGTATAACTACCCGCTATTGTAACAAGAGCGAAAAAAACACAGTATTGCTGTATATACGTCGGTGTCTGCGTCAGCCATTCGTATTCGTATAGTCGAGATCTACTTTAGTGTAATCAATCTTGCTTCTTCCACAGTTGTACACGTGTTACACTTTTACTAATTGTTATATCGTACTGCATAAATAGTTTATATTGTTGACGATGTCCAGCACGGATATTTCTAATATGGACGATACCAGCACCCTTGATGCGCCTCGTCAGGCAACATGGCTGGATTTCGTAATAGTGATTGGCACTGTTATATTCCTTGCCTTTCTCCTTGTGAATCTGCTGTCAATGATCTGGAACTACATAAAGCTTAGAAAAGAGATCAAGAAGTCATATAAACGAGCCAAAGCGAGTAGGATACGCGCTGAAAAGCGAGCGATAGCCCGAGCCGGCAAAGCGGAGGAAGATAAAAAGAACGGTTCGACGAGAGAGCTGAAGTCAACTGAAGCATTCTTAGCTCTGAGTGTGACTGACGATCCCAGCAGTGTCTTCACTAGTGCGTCAGCACCAGCTGAGGAGACGGGAAAGAGTGCGAGAGTGCTATGTCCAAACTGCAATGACGATATTCTGGAAAGTCGGGTGAATGCACACCTAGACAGGTGTCTGGCTAGAAATTCAGATACTATTGTGTAGCTCTGGCTATGAGATGGGGCGTTGTAGTTCACAGTGCTACACACATCGTTGCGAACGGCATAGGAGTTACGAACTTGAAGTAATTTACTTCACTTGCTATACCAGCCCTTGGATGTTTGATGCCACTTAAGAGCGTACATGTCATCGATTTTCGATAGTACCGATCGCGTGCACGAATCGTAGACTTGAATGTCAATGTGAAGTATACAGAGGGAATCATGGGTGATGCAACATATGCGTAGACTAAACGCAACATTTCCCCATGCAGCGACCAGTTGTACTGTGTACCAGGGGGCATGCGAGAAGCGATTGTTAATCGGCGGAACAATCTTTGTTTTAGTGGACATGTGCGAAGATATTCAAAATTGCAAATAAGGTGCACGGGAAGGGAGACGAGCACTTGGAAGGCACCTCTGCGTTGCTCGATTATGTTATCGACATAATGGTATCCTTCCGTTCTATGGGTCCGACGCACACTCTAATTCACTGCGGTAGCCAGCTTACGGCACCGTTTTGAGCGTAAGAGATACGTCCGTGAGATAAGAGTTTTAGCACAACTTGAGGTTACCAAGGCTCGCCAGATTCGGGTAATCAGGGACCCAACATCCTATACTTATCTCTTCCACATACAGACAACAATCGGATACACCAACATACTTCAGACTGAATAAAATACAGTCATCATCGTTTGTGGTTATAGTGTCATTGCGGATCATTTGAACGTTTGGTATATGTCTGACGTTGTCTCGGGCTACTGCAAGCAAGACGAGATTTGATTGCGCCACATCATACTTGAACTTCAAGTGGCAAGCATGTTTGTGTTTTTAACGGGTTCTTCTCCCCAATTGTTGCGCACCAATTTCATCTGAACAATAATATTGCATGCCCGGACTCCTAACATATATTTAGCTTTCAGCGTCATATAAAAATATTTCAAACACCATCGAGCAATGAGTATAAATATAGTCTATCTCCGGCCATGGGTATGATCGTTTTGAAGAAACAGCCTAGAAAAGACTCAATTGGTGCACACAATCTCAAGTCATTGTCTGCTAGCAGACTATGGAGGTCAGAAATGATGTTTAGCAAAGCCTGAAGTAAAATCTAATGGATAAGGGCAATTATTGATTGCAAGTGTATAGTAGTGGAATTTATTCGACATTCGGATTTAAGTCGATACCGGATAGACTAGCTTCGTTTGCGCGAATTCAGATCGGAGTGAATTCCAGGAACACATCCCAAATATTGAAAATAAGAGGCATCATATATATATGTGTACGTACATATGCAATTGGAAAAGTATCACACATTCAACTATGAAGCGAATGCATACATCTATGCGTACAAACATATATACAGAATTAAATAGATATGTAAGAATGTATACACACATACATATGTGTACACACACGTATATATATATACACATACACACACACACACACACACATATATATATATATGCATATATGTATATATATTTATATATATATATAAATATAAACACACACATACACACACACATTTATATATACATACATACATACACACACACACACACACACACATATATATATATATATATATTTATTTATAATATAACACACACACACACACACACACACACACATATATATAAATACGATTACATATATACACACATACATGCATACATACATATATATATACACACACACACACATATATAAATATATATATACATACACAAACACACACAGATAGACGCATATATACATATATATGTATAGCTTTATATATATATATATATATATATATATAATATATATATGGATATATATATATTTAATATATACAATATATATATATATATATATATAAATACATTGAACATAATATATATATATATATATACATTGAACATAGTATATATATATACATTGAACATAGTATATATATATATATATATATATATATATATATTTATAATATATATATATATATATATATATATATATATAATATATATATATATATATATATATATATATATATATGTCAGATCATACTAAAATGTAAGATTTAAGAACAGTCGTTCGCTTCCCATAGGTATTCTGTTACATTATTAGATTATCATTTGAACGTGTCCAATCAAACTAAGCTAAAAGACGGAGCGGCGAAGTCTCAACCAAGCAAAGTGTCCACTAACACTGATCATACTAGGCCAACCAACTGTTAGAATTCGCTTGTTTGTTCTTAATCAGCAGATCTCCGAATCTACATCCCAAATGAATTCACGAAGTCCTATTCGTAAGTTATACTTTGCAGTATTGCGTGCACATTACTGTGTAAACACACGGCAATCTCTAATAGATCGTCAGACAGCGCTGATCGCTCCACACCGGTTGGCAGCTGCTCATGTGACGTAATTATACTTCAACTACTGGAAGTTGTTACCGAGAGTAGTGCAGAACGCTGCACCACACACCGGTGGTATATATCGCTACAACATCCCGTACATGCAGGTATACATTTTGAGTACTCAACTTTATATTTATACATATGCTTTTAAAATACGCAGGTGTACATACACTGTACTGAGTCACGAGTATGTAAAAATAAAAACATGAGTCGCGACTGATGAGGCGGAGGCCCGCGGGAGCCCTGAGCATTAACTGGTTTAAAATGCCGGGTGGCCCAGTTGTGTATACATAAATTATAATGTTTTTGGCGCGGAATAAATACTAATACCAGCACTGAGCGTCTGAGAGACTGAGGCTCTGGCCTCTGAGCCTCTGAGCACGGCGTTCTATTCAAGTGATAGTGACAAGTGACAAGTGACAATTGACAAGTGACACCCCTCGGGCCCTCTCTTAAAGTCGTAGTAGAGGGAGAACTTTTGTCTTTGACTCGTCTGAGACGAGTCTGTCCCCACAACAGTTTATGTGGATCACAGCGAAGCGATGGATACCGATTGCGATTCAATTCAGAAGCCTTCATCTGAGATGCGTAGTGTATCCAAAAAGCACAAGCACATTACCAATAAATTCTGAAGAAAGATAGCTCTGTAGCGCAAGTATGGCATCAGGCACAAGATCCAAGAAATTGAATCATTTCGTCATAGAAAAGAGCAACGTACTTCTCCTGGGCATGGGATTTGTCTCTGAACAGATTTGCAACGAACAAACCGGCACTACAAATCCTTATGTCAGAGATACGAGGAGAGCGAGGGCGATAGAAGATATAGGTGAGTGTATGCACACACATACATATAAATACATGCTTGCACACACATACCAGCTTACACGTGCATACACGTGTACACACACGCGCAAACACACATGTGCACACACGCACACACATGTGCGTCTCTGAATATGTAGTTATTTAGTTATGTATGCAGGCATGTTCACTACACACCAATTTACATATATTACACGGAAAATGAGATATTTATGGTGTTTTGTCTTTCTATGTCTATCTCCCAAATACGCTGGATATATGTATACAGCCGCGCTTACCATAATGGGAAAGCCTTTAACAGTCATTGTTGTGTCTGTAGTTTATTTGGTGCTTATATACGGTACGCCCATATAACGAATGCGAGCCCACCTGAGACAAGAACATTCGCTGCATGCAATGAATAAGATATACTATTCTTTGCATATTGGCAAGCATCCGACTGTAAAACACAAAGAAAGGGCCTACATTTTAATTCTTTACAGGCTCTGTGAGCGTCTTTTGCAAGTACTTAAGTGTTGTGCCATGATTATACACGTACATACACAGGGTAGTATCGAAGAACCTAGAATCCTACCCAAACATCATACTCTTATACCTCCTTAATGATACACGACGACCTATTTCCTTCCCATACTTATTCTAGTTCTACAGGCTATCACGTACACACCATACACCTGCAGGTATATCAGAAGATATCATATCTGTAGATATAACACCACGACTAAGCTTGCTCACATACAACGTTATGCATCTATCCTGGTACTACAGGGTATCACGTGTACACAATAAACATACTTAGTAGATATAACACTATGACTAACCTCGTTCACATTCAACGTCATGTATATGTCCTGGCTCTACAGACTATCACGTGCACACAATAAACAAACAGAGTAGATGTAATACCATGACTAACCTCGTTGACATACAAACGTCATGTATCTATTCTGGCTCTACAGGTTATCACGTGCATACAATAAATATGCAGCTGGAACAGAAGGATAGTGCTGGCTTCCCAGACCATCCCAGGCACATCCAGCTCACTTGGTCGAGGGGGGCGCGTGCAGTGAAGCAAAACTTGGCGCAGTTTCCTGAGGGTGAGAAATTCAAGTACATTCTGTTGGACTATTTTAGGTAAGTCCGATATTTGAAGCGCGTCCCCCCAAGAACCATTGTAATTTCCATTCCAGTGGACGGGAATTCCGTATACACTCTATGAGACTAGTTTAGGTATGTGAGATACGCCCACAGCACGCACGTAACCTGATTTGTTGAAATTTCAGAAGAGTCGCGTGGAGCATCATGGTTTTAAACTTTGATAATGGACGTTGTTTTAAAATACTTCTTGGCTGGCTCTTGCACATATTGGTTCTTACTCTCATTTATTGGGTTGTCAAGTGATGCATGCCTTTTTATGTTATTGCCTCTTGGCATATATCACTAAAAACCAAGAGCTGCCCCTTTGGCAAACCATCGCCTTGAGTGCCGTTTACTGCACATCCTCGCAACCTTGCCGTACGCTATACCGTCCGTGTACTATGTGTCTACTACTGTAGATCTGTATACCAGGTTCTGTAGCATCCTTGACAGATACGTATGACCTTGGTATGGTGCAGCTGCCTTTAAAATCTCATCAACTGACCCAGGTCCACTTGGCACGACTCCCGCAGATTCCCATCAGACTACATGAGGCGCGCATACACAACAAACTTCTTCAAAAGCTTCATCCTGGAGGGTCTCCGTGATCACGTAAGTTCATTAACTTGTAGGTCTAATCAGAAGTCAAGCACGTGTACCGTCACGAGAATGCATACGCCTGTTATAATTTCGCGCCGTGATGTAACAACCAACTACCCGAGCTTTTAATATGTGTTGATGAGCACACTCTATCGAATGGTACCTGTTTGGGAATACGTTTGTTAAATTGTGAGTGACTGATCGCCTTCACAACACACCTGCGGCACCTCTCGGGGGTAGAAAATACGAGTGTGTGTTTACATAGCAGCTTAACACACAACCCGTGTGCGCATACGCCCATAGACAGTCAGCACTTCTAGTGCGACACCGAAAACGTTTTGTAAGGGCATACGCGAGATTGGCAATGAAGTTTAGACCAGTATAATTTTGTCCAGATCTGCGCTGGTGTTCCCGATGTATATAATAGGCGTCAGTACGGCGGCGTGTGATGAATATATACTATACCACAGACCCGACTGTATATCTTTAATTGCTTGGGATAATTTGGTGTAGATACTCTCAGCGCGTGGTTGCCAGCTACAGCTATGGATCTACATGATTGTTGTCTGTGAATGTACAGATATATTTTCATACACATCCATGCCTTGGTTGTTTATACGTAGTATTGAACTTTGTATACATAACCAAATACCCTTTTCACACACTTACACACGTGTATTAGTACGAGTGAGAGACCCACGCACACGTTTATATATGTATGCGTGTGTGCTCGATCATTCATGCAGCAATCACCCACCACTGCTGACGTCCATCTTTTTATTGAACGACAGGATTTTCTGACGGAGGATTTCCAAGTCATCGCACCAAACAGTGAAGCCATCGTTGTTGCGTTGAATGAGAGTATGTCACATTACTATATAGAACGTATCGACGATAGCGATAATCCACTTTGGGTTGGTACCGAAAATCTATATGTGAGTGGGTACCGAGACGAAGGCAAATACACAAATACGGATCAGCTTAGTGTGGATCTGGGCTATCTAGATCAAAAGTATCACTTTGTTAGGATGACGCCGCTTGCAACTTCTGGTAAAAAACGATAATAATAAAAATCTCAAAAAAAATCATTGTCAAAGATTTTTATAGCAATTGCTGCATGCGATTTTTGTAGCTATGGCCACGGATTGTACACGTGGCTTCTTTCCGTCTGTGTTTGTGTGTCATCTTCAAATTGAGTAGCGCTGTTGAATGTCTGCACTGTTTTTGTACTCACCAAATACAAGCAGGCATTAAGTAGGTAATCAGACTTAGAAATACTAGTTTGCATATAATACTAAAGGATAGTTGTACATACATGAACTCTCCATGTTTTCCGAACTTCTGCTTGGGATTTTTAACTACCACTCCAAAGTTTGTTTGAGGTATTTTACATAGCCTTCTGAATCATACATATGTATTTCAAGAGCGAGTAGTTACTATTTTGGTTTACAACTCTCGATTAAGTCAAGAAAATGTAGATTAACTCATTTTTGAAGATCACCTTGACGCCTTTGGTCTTCCAACCTAGCCTCTCTCTGCAATGCAATCGGTTATATGCCTTTAGGTTTCCTGCGTTATATGTCAGGCCAACACATGCTACTCGCAAGGGAGTTGCTAGAATTTAATGGATTCAATCGAACAGCTATAATGTATTTATTTCTAACGCGAGCTAAAACCATCGGTGGATTGAGAAACATATGACTAGATAAGTCCATACTACACACTATTTACATAACACACCAATAGCGTACTACTTACTACATAAACAGTGATAACTCTTGGCCTTCTGGATTAGGTCTCGAGCGGAACTCAGGTTTCTCTCTGCGACTCGAACATATTGCACAAACCTTCTACTGGTGTAGAACATAGTCTTCTGAAAAAAGGAAATGTATGTTCAATATTCAGAAGGTTATGTATAGGACCATGAGTGAGGTGGATCGATACATAGCCAACTGGCAACAAGATAATAGTCGATTACCTCGATAACAAGGCCCAACGATAGAAAACCAAAAAGCCCGCCAATAAGTAGGGTTCCAAGTTCTCAATTTTCATTGGCGGCAGATTTTATAATGCCATAGATTCAGGCATGAAACAAATACAAACAAATGATCGCTCTCATGAATTCATCGTGGTGTGTATTATTATTTTCGTCTTTTTGGGGTGATCACCTTCAAACCTCTGTAGCATATATAAGCTTTACAGTGAATAAAATGAAAGCCGCAGCTATTCAAATACCTCGAGTGCCTGGGTTAAGTAAATTTTCGATAATCGTGTAGAATATAGGGCAGTGTTGATCAATAGGTTTACAGAACACACTACATCCGGACTACCGAGATAAATTTGACCTGTGTGTCGAGATTGCAACCTGACGTCATGTCGGAACTGAGTGAGTATGAGAAGAAACGCAACAAGATTATACAGGAGAACCGGGATATGTATGTAGTACAGGCTATTTAGCTATGCTGAGTGGTTGTTAATCAAATGTTTATGCAAGCGGTTGTTCTGAATTCACAGTGTCTTGTTACATACGCATGTAGTACTTTTCCTTGGTATATCTGTTTGTGCATATTTTTATATATTGTGCCGAAGTATATATTTCCACATGCGTGTTTTACGCTATTTGAAGATTATATCCCTCGAAGATATATTCATACACACACACACACACACACACACACACACAC